TTACCGAACCAATAGTTGTTGTCGCATTTCTTACTGGTTCTGTGCTCTCTGCACCTTTAGTTGTTGCAGAGGTTGAAGGTGATACAGTAGAAATTTCAGGTGGAATATTTTTATTTGCACTCAATGGTTTGGGAGACGGTTGTGATGAATCGATATCGGATGTAGTTGTTGCCGTAGAGTTAAGGTTACTTACTGGAGATACACTAGTGGCAGATGCTGGACTTGTGGTTACCGAACCAATAGTTGTTGTTGCATTTCTTACTGGTTCTGTGCTCTCTGCAGCTCTAGTTGTTGCAGAGGTTGAAGGTGATACAGTAGAAACTTCAGGTGGAATATTTTTATTTGCACTCAATGGTTTGGGAGACGGTTGTGGTGAATCGATATCGGATGTAGTTGTTGCAGTAGAGTTGAGGTTACTTACTGGAGATACAGTAGTGGCAGATGCTGGACTTGTGGTTACCGAACCAATAGTTGTTGTTGCATTTCTTACTGGTTCTGTGCTCTCTGCATCTCTAGTTGTTGCAGTGGTTGAAGGTGTTACAGTAGAAACTACGGGTAGAATATTTTTATTTGCACTCAATGGTTTGGGAAACGGTTGTGGTGAATCGATATCGGATATAGTTGTTGCAGTAGAGTTAAGGTTACTTACTGGAGATACAGTAATGGCAGATGCTGGACTTGTGGTTACCGAACCAATAGTTGTTGTTGCATTTCTTACTGGTTCTGTGCTCTCTGCACCTTTAGTTGTTGCAGAGGTTGAAGGTGATGGTGATACAGTAGAAACTTCAGGTGGAATATTTTTATTTGCACTCAATGGTTTGGGAGACGGTTGTGGTGAATCGATATCGGATGTAGTTGTTGCAGTAGAGTTAAGGTTACTTACTGGAGATACAGTAGTGGCAGATGCTGGATTTGTGGTTACCGAACCAATAGTTGTTGTTGCATTTCTTACTGGTTCTGTGCTCTCTGCACCTTTAGTTGTTGCAGAGGTTGAAGGTGATACAGTAGAAACTTCAGGTGGAATATTTTTATTTGCACTCAATGGTTTGGGAGACGGTTGTGGTGAATCGATATCGGATGTAGTTGTTGCAGTAGAGTTAAGGTTACTTACTGGAGATACAGTAGTGGCAGATGCTGGACTTGTGGTTACCGAACCAATAGTTGTTGTTGCATTTCTTACTGGTTCTGTGCTCTCTGCAGCTCTAGTTGTTGCAGAGGTTGAAGGTGATACAGTAGAAATTACAGGTAGAATATTTTTATTTGCACTCAATGGTTTGGGAGACGGTTGTGATGAATCGATATCGGATGTAGTTGTTGCCGTAGAGTTAAGGTTACTTACTGGAGATACACTAGTGGCAGATGCTGGACTTGTGGTTACCGAACCAATAGTTGTTGTTGCATTTCTTACTGGTTCTGTGCTCTCTGCAGCTCTAGTTGTTGCAGAGGTTGAAGGTGATACAGTAGAAACTTCAGGTGGAATATTTTTATTTGCACTCAATGGTTTGGGAGACGGTTGTGGTGAATCGATATCGGATGTAGTTGTTGCAGTAGAGTTAAGGTTACTTACTGGAGATACAGTAGTGGCAGATGCTGGACTTGTGGTTACCGAACCAATAGTTGTTGTTGCATTTCTTACTGGTTCTGTGCTCTCTGCACCTTTAGTTGTTGCAGAGGTTGAAGGTGATACAGTAGAAACTTCAGGTGGAATATTTTTATTTGCACTCAATGGTTTGGGAGACGGTTGTGATGAATCGATATCGGATGTAGTTGTTGCCGTAGAGTTAAGGTTACTTACTGGAGATACAGTAGTGGCAGATGCTGGACTTGTGGTTACCGAACCAATAGTTGTTGTTGCATTTCTTACTGGTTCTGTGCTCTCTGCACCTTTAGTTGTTGCAGAGGTTGAAGGTGATACAGTAGAAACTTCAGGTGGAATATTTTTGTTTGCACTCAATGGTTTGGGAGACGGTTGTGGTGAATCGATATCGGATGTAGTTGTTGCAGTAGAGTTAAGGTTACTTACTGGAGATACAGTAGTGGCAGATGCTGGACTTGTGGTTACCGAACCAATAGTTGTTGTTGCATTTCTTACTGGTTCTGTGCTCTCTGCACCTTTAGTTGTTGCAGAGGTTGAAGGTGATACAGTAGAAACTACGGGTAGAATATTTTTATTTGCACTCAATGGTTTGGGAAACGGTTGTGGTGAATCGATATCGGATATAGTTGTTGCAGTAGAGTTAAGGTTACTTACTGGAGATACAGTAATGGCAGATGCTGGACTTGTGGTTACCGAACCAATAGTTGTTGTTGCATTTCTTACTGGTTCTGTGCTCTCTGCACCTTTAGTTGTTGCAGAGGTTGAAGGTGATGGTGATACAGTAGAAACTTCAGGTGGAATATTTTTATTTGCACTCAATGGTTTGGGAGACGGTTGTGGTGAATCGATATCGGATGTAGTTGTTGCAGTAGAGTTAAGGTTACTTACTGGAGATACAGTAGTGGCAGATGCTGGACTTGTGGTTACCGAACCAATAGTTGTTGTTGCATTTCTTACTGGTTCTGTGCTCTCTGCACCTCTAGTTGTTGCAGAGGTTGAAGGTGATACAGTAGAAACTTCGGGTGGAATATTTTTGTTTGCACTCAATGGTTTGGGAAACGGTTGTGGTGAATCGATATCGGATGTAGTTGTTGCAGTAGAGTTAAGGTTACTTACTGGAGATACAGTAGTGGCAGATGCTGGACTTGTGGTTACCGAACCAATAGTTGTTGTTGCATTTCTTACTGGTTCTGTGCTCTCTGCACCTTTAGTTGTTGCAGAGGTTGAAGGTGATACAGTAGAAACTTCAGGTGGAATATTTTTATTTGCACTCAATGGTTTGGGAGACGGTTGTGATGAATCGATATCGGATGTAGTTGTTGCCGTAGAGTTAAGGTTACTTACTGGAGATACAGTAGTGGCAGATGCTGGACTTGTGGTTACCGAACCAATAGTTGTTGTTGCATTTCTTACTGGTTCTGTGCTCTCTGCACCTTTAGTTGTTGCAGAGGTTGAAGGTGATACAGTAGAAACTTCAGGTGGAATATTTTTATTTGCACTCAATGGTTTGGGAGACGGTTGTGATGAATCGATATCGGATGTAGTTGTTGCCGTAGAGTTAAGGTTACTTACTGGAGATACAGTAGTGGCAGATGCTGGACTTGTGGTTACCGAACCAATAGTTGTTGTTGCATTTCTTACTGGTTCTGTGCTCTCTGCACCTTTAGTTGTTGCAGAGGTTGAAGGTGATACAGTAGAAACTTCAGGTGGAATATTTTTATTTGCACTCAATGGTTTGGGAGACGGTTGTGGTGAATCGATATCGGATGTAGTTGTTGCAGTAGAGTTAAGGTTACTTACTGGAGATACAGTAGTGGCAGATGCTGGACTTGTGGTTACCGAACCAATAGTTGTTGTTGCATTTCTTACTGGTTCTGTGCTCTCTGCACCTTTAGTTGTTGCAGAGGTTGAAGGTGATACAGTAGAAACTTCAGGTGGAATATTTTTATTTGCACTCAATGGTTTGGGAGACGGTTGTGGTGAATCGATATCGGATGTAGTTGTTGCAGTAGAGTTAAGGTTACTTACTGGAGATACAGTAGTGGCAGATGCTGGACTTGTGGTTACCGAACCAATAGTTGTTGTTGCATTTCTTACTGGTTCTGTGCTCTCTGCAGCTCTAGTTGTAGCAGAGGTTGAAGGTGATACAGTAGAAACTACAGGTAGAATATTTTTATTTGCACTCAATGGTTTGAGAGACGGTTGTGATGAATCGATATCGGATGTAGTTGTTGCCGTAGAGTTAAGGTTACTTACTGGAGATACAGTAGTGGCAGATGCTGGACTTGTGGTTACCGAACCAATAGTTGTTGTCGCATTTCTTACTGGTTCTGTGCTCTCTGCACCTCTAGTTGTTGCAGAGGTTGAAGGTGATACAGTAGAAATTACAGGTAGAATATTTTTGTTTGCACTCAATGGTTTGGGAGACGGTTGTGATGAATCGATATCGGATGTAGTTGTTGCAGTAGAGTTAAGGTTACTTACTGGAGATACAGTAGTGGCAGATGCTGGACTTGTGGTCACCGAACCAATAGTTGTTGTTGCATTTCTTACTGGTTCTGTGCTCTCTGCAGCTCTAGTTGTAGCAGTGGTTGAAGGTGATACAGTAGAAATTACAGGTAGAATATTTTTATTTGCACTCAATGGTTTGAGAGACGGTTGTGATGAATCGATATCGGATGTAGTTGTTGCCGTAGAGTTAAGGTTACTTACTGGAAATACAGTAGTGGCAGATGCTGGACTTGTGGTTACCGAACCAATAGTTGTTGTTGCATTTCTTACTGGTTCTGTGCTCTCTGCACCTCTAGTTGTTGCAGAGGTTGAAGGTGATACAGTAGAAATTAGAGGTAGAATATTTTTGTTTGCACTCAATGGTTTGGGAGACGGTTGTGGTGAATTGATATCGGATGTAGTTGTTGCAGTAGAGTTAAGGTTACTTACTGGAGATACAGTAGTGGCAGATGCTGGACTTGTGGTCACCGAACCAATAGTTGTTGTTGCATTTCTTACTGGTTCTGTGCTCTCTGCAGCTCTAGTTGTTGCAGTGGTTGAAGGTGATACAGTAGAAATTACAGGTAGAATATTTTTATTTGCACTCAATGGTTTGGGAGACGGTTGTGATGAATCGATATCGGATGTAGTTGTTGCCGTAGAGTTAAGGTTACTTACTTACTGGAAATACAGTAGTGGCAGATGCTGGACTTGTGGTTACCGAACTAATAGTTGTTGTTGCATTTCTTACTGGTTCTGTGCTCTCTGCAGCTCTAGTTGTTGCAG